TTTGGTTGTTATTTTCTACAATTTAAAAGACTAATGCACTTTAGAGAATTATTAGTTTATGTTTTTGGTCATACAAAGTTAAAAGATATAATTTTATGACATTTAAACCCCAAAGGGATAGGAACAGTGTTGTAAAAGAGCAGGGGTTTTGTATGTTATCAAAGCTAAGCTTGTGTAAATGCAATTTAGAGTGTTACAACTTCAGGGTGTTGAATATAATCCTCGTGGTAACCACAAAGAATACAATATACACAAAAGGAAATGAAAAAGAAATTTAAACATTTCACTTCTAAAACCAACTAAGCACAAAAGACAACAGTAATGCAGGAAATTAGGAACAAAAAAGCTACAAGGCATATAGAAAACAAATAATAAAATGATAGACATTTCCCTCCTTATCAGTAATTATTTTAAATGTGAGTGGATTAAACTCTCCAATTGAAAGACAGTGATTAGAAGAATGAATAAAAACACATGATCAAACTACATTCTGTCTATAAGAGATTCATTTTAGATCTGAAGACCAAATAGATTTAAAGTAGAAGGATACAAAAAGATATTCCCATGCAAATGGTAACCAAAGAGGAGATGTGGCTATACTAATATCAGACAAAATAAACTTGAAATTAAAAAAAGTTTTCAAGAGACAAAGGAGGACATTATATATCAACAAAAGGCTCAACACAGCAGGATGATATAACAAAAAATAAACATTTATGCATCTAATGATAGACCATCAAAATATATGAAGCAAAAATTGAAAGAATTGAAGGAAGAAATACAGTTCTACAATAATAGTTGGAGACTTCAATACTACACTCTCAATAATGGATAGAACACCAAGATAAATGGTAAGTAAGGAAATAGATGACTTAACACAATAAACCAAGTAGATTTAACAGACACGTACAGAATACTCCACCCAATAACAGCACACATATTCTTCTCAAATGCACACAAGACATTTTATAAAATAGACTATATGTTAAGCCACAAGTTAAGTCCCAATAGATTTTAAAAGACAGATAGCATACCGAGTATCCTCTCTAATCACAATGGGATGAAATTAGAAATCAGTAACAGAAGTAAAACTAGAAAACCCACAAATCTGTGGAAATTAAACAACATATTTTTAAACAACCAATGGATCAAAGTATAAATCTCAAGGGAAATTAGAGAACACTTAGAGACAAAAAGTGAAAGTGCAACAGAGCAAAGCGTATGGAATACAGTGAAAGGAATCCGTGCTAAGGGGGAAGCAGGGCTGTAAAGGCTGGCATTGAAAAGACAAGAAAAGTCTCAAACCAGTAACCTGACTTTACAATTTAAGAAGCTGTAAAAAGAACAAACCGAACCCAAAGCTAGTAGAGGAGGGAAATAAAATTAGAACAGAATTAATCAAAACAGAAAAATAATAGAGAAAATTAATGAAACCAAAAGTTGGTTCCTTGAAAAGATCAACAAAACTGACAAAACTTCAACTAGATGGACTATGAACAAAAGAGAGAATAATCAAATTACTAAAGTAAAAAATGGTATTAGGGACATTACTACTGAATATACAAAAATAAAAAAGATCACAAGAGAGTTCTATGAACAGTTGTACACCAACAGATGGGGTGCCTAGGATGATGTGAACAAATTCCCAGGAACACAGAACCTACCAAGACTAAATTATCAAGTAATAGAAAATATGAACAGATTTGTAACTACTTCATCTCTCAAAAAGAGATAAAAAATCTCTTAACAAAGAAAAGTGCTGGACCTAATAGTTTCACTGATGAAATCCAGCAAACATTTAAAGAAGAATTAATACCAGTCCTTCTCAAACTTTCCAAAAAATTAAAGAGGAGGGAACACTTCCTAACTGACTCATTCTATGAGGCCAGCGTTATCTTGAGATACCGAATCCAGAAAAGACACGGCAGGAAAACCACAGACCAACATTCTTCATGAGCACCGATGCAGAAACCCTCAATGAAACACTGACACACTGAATTCAGCAGCATATTAAAAAGACTGTACACCATGACCAAGGGGACTTCATTACCAGAATGCAAGGACGGTTCAGCATATGAAACCATCAATGCTGGTGATGTGATATGATCAGTGTAATATGCCACATTAATAAAATGAAGTGAATAGAACCACATGCTCATCTCAAGTGATGCAGAAAAAGCATTTTCAAAATACAACACCCTTTCCTAATAAAAATATTCAACAAACTAGGAATAGAAGGAAACTACCTCCACATAATAAAAATCATACATTATTTTTATGATACAGTGAACATCATACTCGATGGTGAAAGACTGAAAGCTTTTCCTTTAAGATCAGGAATAAGACAAGGATGCCCACTTTCAACATTCAACAATATAATGGAAGTGTGCTAGCCAGAGCATTAGGTAAGGAAAAGAGATAAGTGGCATTCAAATTGGAAAAGGAAAAGCGGTATAATCACTGTTTGCAATGATATCACCTTATATGTAGAAAACCCTAATGATTCCACCACAAAAAAAAGAAGTTACACCTAATAAGTGAATTCAACCAAGCAGCAGGATACAAAGTCAACACACACACAAGTTGTATTTCTGTACACTAACAATGAACAACCTGAAAAGGAAATTACAAGAAACAATTCCATTTACAATCACATCTAAAAGAATAAAATACTTAGGAATTAACCAAGAAGGTGAAAGATGTGATGAAAACTACAAAAAAAAAAACCCTGCTGAATAAAATTAAAGAAAACATAAATGGGAACACATCCCATGTTTATGGAAGACTTAATATTGTTGTCAATAGTACCCCAAGTGATCTACAAATTCAATGCAATTCCTATCAAAATCTCAATGATGTTTTTCACAGAAATAGAAAAGCCCATCCAAAAATTCATGTGGAATATCAACGGAACCCAAATAACCAAAATAATTTCAAAAATGAACAAATTGGAGGACTCACACTTCTTGATTTCAAAATTCATTACAAAGTTACAGTAATCTAAACAATGCAGTCCTGGCATAGAGAGAGATATAGACCAATAGGACAGAATAGAGAACCCAGAAATAAACCCTCACACCTATGGCCAAATGGCTTTCGATCAGGTGTGAAGACCATTCAATGGGGAAAGGTCAGTCTTTTCAACAAGTGGTGTTGGGAACTCTGGGCATCCACATGCAAAAGAATGAAGTTGAACACTTACCTAAGATCATACGTAAAAATGATCTCAAAATGGATTTAAAAAAAACTAAATGTAATATCCAAACTTATAAAACTCCTAGGAGAAAACACAGGGCAAAAGCTTCCTGACATTTGATTTTGCAGTCATTTATTGGTCATGACACCAAAGCATAGACAACAAAAGAAAAAACAAAATGGACTTTGTAAATGGTTTTTAAGTTTGGACATCAAAAGACAGTATCAACAGAGTAGAAAGTCAGCCCACAAAATGGGAGAGAGTGTTTGCAGTTCCTGCATCTGAAGGGGGGTTAATCTCCAGAATGTATTACCTGGGGAATAGAACTCAGCAACCAAACAGTCTGATTCAAAAACGGGCAAAGGATTTGAGTGGATTTGTCTCCAAAGAAGACATACCAACGGCCAGTGAGCACAGGAAAAGATGTCCAACATCCCTGATCATTAGGGAAATGCGAACCAAAACTACAGTGAGAAACCACCTCACACCCATTAGGGTGGCCACTACACTGAACATAACAGCTGTTGGCAAGGATGTGGAGAGTGAGACTCATACACGGTCGGTTGGAATGTAAAATGGTGCAGCCACTGTGGAAAACAGTATGAAGGTTCCTCAAAACACTACAAGTAGCATTTCCATATGACCTGGCAATACCACTTCTGGGTATATACACAAAAGAATTGAAAGCAGGGTCTCAAAAGCATATTTGCACACCCACATTCACAGCAGTGCATTCACAATAGCTAAAATGTGGAAGCAACCCAAGTGTCCAACTGCAGACGAGTGGATGAGCAACAGGCGTTGCATCCACCCAGTGGATGTTATTCAGCCTTATAAAGGAAGGAAGGTGTCACATGCTCTGACGTGGAGGAACCTTGAGGACATCATAATAAATGAAATAAGGCAGGTACACAAAGACAAACGCTCTATGGTTCCACTTGTATTTAGTCAGAATCCTAGAGACAGAAAGTAGATGGTCCCCAGGGGCTGGGGAGGTGGTGTGGGGATGTTCACTGGGGACAGTTTCAGTTTCACAGAATGTAAAGAGCCGTGGAGATGGATGGTGGGGATGGGCACACGACATTATTAACATATTTAATACCACTGAACTGCAGATTAAAAATGGTTAAGACGGTAAATTTTATGTTGCCACAATAAAAACATTTGAAAAAATGTACGTAGAGGTAAAATAAATGACAATGAGCATTGAGTAAGAAGGGGATAAATGGAATCACACTGTCATATTGTTGGGAAGTTGTGAAAATTCCAAGTGAAGGTAAACAATAATAAGTCAAGAACATATATTGTAATTTCTAGGTAAACCCTAAAAGGCAAAAAGCAAAACTGTGTAACTAAAAACCTAATGTAGGAGATGGAGTTAGTAAGAACTTGACTGGGCCGTCTTAGGTAGAGCATGGTGGCGGCCAGCCACTACGTCTGCTGTAACAAGAGGCACACAGGCCAGCCTGCCCTGCCTTTTCCCACGGCTGCCCTGGGGCCCAACCAGGCAAGGACCTGATGGGTGGGAGGTGCTAAGAGGTCCTGCACAAAGGAGCTCCTGAGGTGGGGTGGCATCCTGGAGGGACAGGAACAGAGGGCCTGGGCACTCCAACACCAGACAGGTGATGCAGTCCCTGGACAGACACCCCAACTCCCAGGCAGGCACCCACACATCCCAGAGGCTGCACTTCCCTAGACAACTGAAATCACCCAATGTCCCCAGTTAATGTGCACAGGGGACGCATACGCACTCTGGTTTGTGGGCACCTTGGGCACACAGAACTCTGAACAGGGCGCCTCTTACTGGATGAGGGTGTAGTATTGCTGGGTCAGGTCCTTCCACTCGTCCTCTGTGAGATCGTTGGCAGTGTCCTTGGAGATGTCGATGTCCTTGTGCTCCAGCTGTTCCAGGTAGGCTTGGCACACCTTGCATGCCATGTCCACGAGCTGCCCCGAGAGGCCTGTGAGCTTCGATTCAGCAATCTCAGGAACTGAAACCCAAGCACAGGCACGTGGCATGTGGACCCCCACCCTCATCCCTGGCCACACCTCGAGGATTCTGGCGAAGGCTCCCGCCTCCCTGGGCAGCACCCCCAATGCTGCACCTGTGTCTGGGCAGTAGCCTGCCCTGTGCACGTCCCCTCCCACCATCCCCTCTAGACCCTCAGCCCTAGGCAGGAATGAAGTAGTTCCTATGAACTCTCCGCAAAATCTCTCCTCTTTGGAGCACGGACTTGGCATTCCACAAGTGCGCTGTGACCAAGCCTGCACCACAGTGACGCCTGCAGGCCCCAGGGGTGACCAGGGCCCAGGCGGACGCCCTCGAGTTTATGTGGCTGCTAGAGATTGTAACATGCATTTTAAAATACACTCAGATGAAATTCACATAACATAAAAATTTAAGAGTTTCAGGCTGCCAGTCACGCACATAAGGAGCATGGAAATAGCCACTCCATCCTAACAAGTAAAATGCTGGACAGATGGGAAAATCCACAGCCGCTCTTAGACCCATCAGGGAACTGAGGTCACAGGGCTGCCTCCAAATTGGAGAGAGAGACAAGAGGACAGAGAATCGCAGGCACCGGAGCCGCTGCCGCGCCAGGAACCAGCACCGGAAAACCTGAGCAGAATGTCTGGAGGCTCCGTGTGCACAGATCTGAGAGTGAGAGACTCTGGGAGCATCTGTTACAGGCGCCCCACTCTTTTGTCAGTTTTACTTCCAAGAGTTTGACCTGGTTCGCACTGAGAACACTAGAGAAAAGCCCCTCCTGCTTCTGGAGGAAGACAGGACAGGGGCCATCTAGAAACCCGCCAGACCCGTCCTCACAAGGCCAGCCCGCAGGGGACACAGCCGGAGCCTGCCCCGCAGGGGTCCAGCCGGCGGGGGGGACACACAGCTCCACCCCTGTGGTTACCTGAGCTACCAAAGGGGAAAACCGAGCGGTTCTGGCGACATGCACAGCGCAGAGGCGTGAGCTCAGGAAAAGATGGAGGCCCCATCATGACACTAGGAACATTTTATTAAACAAAAGAACAGAGGGAATTTTTTGCCAGTAGACCTGCCTTGCAAGAAATGTTAAAAAAGATCTTCAGAAAGAAGGAAATTGGGAAAGGTCAGAAACTCAGATCTACATAAAGTACAAAACAGCATTAGAGAAAGAATAAATGAAGGTAAAATTAAAACTTTTAGTTTTCTTAATCTGGCAGAACAATCATTTAATAATTATTTTAAAATAATAGCAACAATGTATTAGATGATTATAGCCTATGGATAAGTGGGATGAATGATACCAATGATACAAGGCCAGGAGGGAGGAGTTAAGAGTGCTTTGTGATTATAAAATACTTGCATTACTGTGAAGTAGTCTAGTGTCACTTGAAAGTGGAATTGGATTCATAGTAAATGTATATTGCAAACTGCAGGGCAACCACTAAGAAGTATGTATATGTATACATATATATATATATATAAAGAAGTATTACTGTTTGCTAGGAAGGGAGAGGTAATGGAATCATATAAATGCTCAAATAAAACCACAAAAGGCAAAAAAAGGCTGGAAGAAAAAATGAGAATGAAGAACAAGGGCAATGAACAGAAACCAGTGATGACAAAGGTGATGTCACTCCCAGTAGCTCGGTAATCACTCTGAACACCAATGGTCTAAACACGCCAGCTGAAAGCAATCAGAGATTGCTGAGTGGGTCAAACAGTAAGACCAACTGCGTATTTTCAACAAGCAACTTTCAATATAAAAATACTTACAGATTATAAAACCACAGTAATCCAAACTATATGTTATTGGCACAAGAACAGACCCATAGATCAATGGACAAGAGAATAGAGAGCAGAGACATAAACCCGAACATATGTGGTCAGTTAATATCTGATAAAGGAGCCACGGACATGCAATGGGGAAAGGACAGCTTGTTCAACAACTGGTGTTGGCAAAACTGGACAGCTACATGTAAGGGAATGAAACTGGATTATTGTTGAACTCAATACACAAAAGTAAACTCTAAATGGATCAAAGACCTGAATCTAAGTTGTGAAACCATAAAACTCTTAGAAGGAAACACAGGCAAAACTCTCGAATATAAACATTAGCAACTTTTTCCTGAACACATTTCCTTGGGCAGGGGAAACAAAGTAAAAAATGAACAAGTGGGGCTACTTCAAACTAAAAAGCTTCTGTGCAGCAAAGGACACCATCAGCAGAACAAAAAGGCATCCTACAGTATGGGAGAATATATTCATAAGTGACTTATCTGATAAGGGGTTTTCAAAATATATAAGAACTCACACGCCTTAACACCCAAAAAACAAATAACCTGACTAAAAAATGTCTGGAGGATCTGAACAGACACTTCTCCAAACAAGAAATATGGATGGCCAGCAAGCACATGAAAAGATGCTCCACATCGCTAGTCATCAGAGAAATGCAAATTAAAACTACAATGAGATATCACCTCACACCAGTAAGGATGGCCAACATCTAAAAGACAAGAAACAACAAATGTTTGTGAGGTTGTGGAGAAAGGGGAACCCTCCTACACTGCTGGTGGGAATGTAAATTAGTCCAACCATTGTGGAAAGCAGTATGGAGATTCCTGAAAAAACTAAAAATAGAAATACCATTTGACCCAGGAATTCCACTTCTAGGAATTTACCCTAAGAATGCAGCAGCCCAGTTTGAAAAAGACAGATGCACCCCTGTGTTTATCGCAGCACTATTTACAATAGTCAAGATATGGAAGGAACCTAATTGTCCATCAGTAGATGAATGGATAAAGAAGATATGGTACATATACACAGTGGAATATTATTCAGCCATAAGAAGAAAACAAATCCTACCATTTGCAACAACACGGATGGAGCTAGAGGGTATTATGCTCAGTGAAATAATCCAGGTGGAGAAAGACAAGGACCAAATGATTTCACTCATCTGTGAACTTTAAGAACAAAGCAAAAACTGAAGGAACAAAACAGCAGCAGATTCACAGACTCCAAGAATGGACTAACAGTTACCAAAGGGAAAGGGACTGGGGAGGGTGGGTGGGAAGGGAGGGAGAAGGGGGAAAGGGGGCATTACGATTAGCACACATAATGTGTGGGGGTCACGGGGAAGGCAGCACAGCACAGAGAAGACAAGTAATGACTCTATAGCATCTGACTACGCTGATGGACAGTGACTGTAATGGAGCATGTGGTGGGGACCTGATAATGGGGGGAATCTAGTAACCACAATGTTGCTCATGTGATTTTATATTAATGATATCAAAATTTTAAAAATTAAAAAAAAAGAGGATATAAATTACTAATACCATCAAAGACAGACACATCACTACAAATCCTATGAACATTAAAAAGATAACTAAGGAATACCATGAACGACTCTATACCCACAAATTTGATAATCTAGGTCAAAAAGATCAATTTATTGAAAGATAAACTCTGCCAAAACTCATACAAGAAGAAACAGACAATCTGAATAGGCCTCTATCTATTAAAGAAATCAAATCAGTAATTAGTAACCTTCCAAACTAGAAAGCACAGGGCCCAGTTGGGTTCACCGGTGAGCTCTACTAAACATTTAAGGAGGAAATCATGCCAATGCTCCACAGTCTCTTTCAGAAGACAGAAGCAGAGAGGGTATTTCCTGACTCCTTCTACGAGGCTATGGTATCACCCTAATACCAAAATAGATAAAGACATTACAAGAGAACTACAGAACAATACCTCCACGAACAGAGGCGCAAAGATCCTCAACAAAGAATCAGCAAATCGAACCCAACAGTGTACAAAAAGAACCGCGTGCCAATTAAATACCATGAAGTGGCATTTATCTCAGGTATGCAAAACTGGTTCACCCTTTGAGAATCAATTAATTCATCCACATCAACAGGCTAAAGAAGAAAAATTGCACGATCATGTCAATACATGAAGAAAAAAACATTCGACAAAATTCAACACCCATTCATGACCAAAACTCTCAGCAAACTAGTAATAGAGGGGAACTTCCTCAATTTGATAAGAATATCTAGAAAAAATGTACAACTAACATTATACTTAATGGTGAGAAATGAGAAGCTTTCCCAGGCATAAGGCTAGGATGTCTTCCTCTCGCCACTATTTTTCAATGTCACACTAGAAATCCTAGCTAATGCAGTGACACAAGAACATAAAATAAGAGGTGTACAGATCGGGAAGGGAGAAAAAAACAACTGTCTTTATTCACAGATGACATGATTGTCTATGTAGAAAATCTGAAAGAATTGACCAAAAGCTCCTGGAACAAGTAAGTGACTACAGCCCGTCACTTTCCTGCATACCAGCAATGAATAATTATAATTTGAAACTAAAAACACAATACCATTTACATTAGCATGATTTCAATTACCATTGCATTATATTATCACATATATGCTTACATTTCACCAAAAATGAAATACATATATAAATAAATATCTTTTTACTTAATAAGTAAATTTACTAACTTATTAAGTAAATAAATATATAAGTAAATCTAATGCATAAAAAAGTAATTCTGGAATAATTACAAGATCTATATGAAGAAAACTACAAAATTCTGATGAATGAAATCAATAGCTAATGGACAGTCCATGTTCATGAATAGCAAAGACTTAAAATTGTCAAGATGTCTGTTCTTCCCAACTTGATGTATAGATTCAACACAATCCCAATAAAAGCCCCAGCAAGTTATTTGGTGGATATTGGGAAACTGATTCTACAGTTTATAAAGAGAGACAAACCTAGAACAGCCGATGTAATATTAAAGAAGAGCAAAGGTGGAAGAGAGACACTTTCCAACTTAAAGCTTTATATAAATCTACAATAACAGACACAATGCGATATCAGAGAAACACTAGACAAACAAATCAATGGAAGGGACTAGAGAGCCCAGAAGGACACACATGGATAGGATCGATGCCATGGTCTTTGGCAAAGGGGCAGAGGCAGTGGGGTAGACAGTCCCCTCAGTGGGTGGAGCTGGAACAACTGGATGTCCACTTGCAAAGAAGAACCCAGAAACAGACTTTACACCCGTCACAGAAATTAACTCAAAATGGATCAAGACCTACATGTTAAATGTAAAACTGTAAAACTCCTAGAAGATAACATGAGAGAAAACTGAGGTGAACTTGGGTGCAGTGATGACTTTAGATGCAACATCCCAGGCACAACCATGACAAAATGTTGATAAATTGGAATTTATTGAAATTAAACACTCCTGCAATGCAGAATACACTGTCAGGGGAATGAGAAGACAAGAGAGACACGGACCTGGAGAAAATACTTGCAAACAACACATCTGATAAAGTAATGCCATCCAGCGTATACAAGGAACTCTTGAAACTCAACAGGAAGAAAACCAATGACCCAATTAAAAAATGGACTGGGAAGCAGGACAGACTTCTCACCAAAGAAGATACACACAGTTGGCAAGTAAGCACACAAGAAGAGGCTCCGCAGCCTGTGCCACCTGGGAAATTCAGGGTAAAAGCAGTGGGACCCCACCCACCACACACCTGCTGGCTGACCAAGGCCCAGGCCACCCACAACACCACGTGCTGCCGAGGGTGCGGGGCCGCAGGAATGCTCAGTCATTGCCGGGCGGGTGCAGAGTGGTGCAGCCACCTTGGGAGACAGTTTGGCAGTTTGTCACCACACTGAACAGACTCTTGCCATTCGATCCAGTGGTCGCACTCCGTGGCATTTACCCAAAGGAGCTGAAACCTTACAGCTACACAAAAATGTGCACACAGACATTTACAGCAGCCTTATTCATAATTGCCAAGACGTGGAAGCAGCCGGGATGTCCCTCAGCAACTGATGCAGAGAAAGCTGTGGTCCGTCCAGACAATGGGATGTTATCAGCACTGAAAAGAGATGGGCTCTGAAGCCAAGGAAAGATGTGCAGGAGCCTTAAACGCATGTCACTGCGTGAAAGAGGCCAGTCGGAAAAGGCTGCGGAGCGTGTGACTCTAGCTCTGTGACACTCTCGGAGGCAGTAAAGGACCAGTGGCGGCCAGAGGTCAGGGGAGGGGGGGATGACCGGGGGGAGCAGAGGGTTTTAGGGCAGGGAAGCTACTCTGTGTGACACTGTGATGGTGGACACGCATCACACGTGTCCAAACCCACAGGACAAACACCACCAAGAGTGACCCTGATGGAGACTGGACTCCGGGTGGTGGTGACACGTCAGTGTAGGTTCGTGGATCATAAGAAATGTTGCTTTAGTGGGGATGTTGACAGTGGGGAGCTTGGGGGGCAGGGCGCATGCAAACTCTGTATACCTTCCCCTCAACTTTGCTATGAACCTAAAGCTGCTCTATTAAAATGAACAACAGTGGAAAAAACTTATTTGGGCTTCATAGGCCTAGACCCACAGTGGCCAAGGTCTCCCTACACACAGAAGTGCCCTTCTCTGCCATCCTCTCCGTGGGAAGACACGGGTGGGGCCCATCCCAGACGCAGTCCCCCTGCCCTCCCTTGCTGCCCCCAGTGTGGGGAGCCCAGCAGGCTGCACAGACCTTTCGTGCTGTTGGCTTCCCTGTCACTGGTCTGCGCCCTCCTGCCCTTGGGTCTGTTCCTGCTGCGGCTCTGCTGGCTGACCACCCACTTGAGGATGCTGGAGGCCATCGTGCGCCGGAAGTCGTCTGAAATTTCATCAAGCCTCGCCCCCTCTGCCCGTGCTGGGGACCGGGGGCCTCCACCAGCACCAGCATCCTCAGCCCAGGCATCCTGAAGCCAGGCCCCTCCCCTCCCACCCTCATAGCCCTGGGCGGCAGGCCTCCAGCCCTCACCTCCCACCTCAGCTGTGCCCTTCCACGCCCTGTGAAGGGCTCCACCCTGGCTGCTCACCCAACGCCTGAGCTCTGGCTGCTTCCATCTGGGTGTCTGCCCAGCAACCCCTCCCCAAGGCCCCAGCTCATGGTCCTTCCCCCAGTGCACTTCCCCCAGCCCCTGTGACCCCTGCCCTGAACTGCCTGTGGCTGTCTGCTCCTGGGAGCCCATGGTGGGGTCAGGCATGGGGCAGAGGTGCTGGGCAGGTGTTGCATCTCCATGGCCCCAGATCAGGTGCTCAGGAAACAGATCACCCCTAAAGGGACACCTCCCCTCCTGCCCTGACCTCTGCCTTCTCTCTCCTGGCCTCTTGGCAGATGGACCCAAGAACCCTCCCTTTGTGCCTGCCCAGAGCCAGGTGCCCAGACTGGGTTCCCAGCACCACCCTCAAGCCAGCCTCCCCGACGTGTGTTCTCCCAGAAGCCCCACCAGCCTACAAGGCCCCCTCCTGCCTCACAGATGCTGCCCATGGAAGTTTCTGGACTAGCCTTCACCATGGGAAGTGGAGCTGAGCCCCAGGCCTTGGTTGGAACCATGCTCCCCACCATCACCTCCTGTCCCAGGCTACAGCCTCACTCCCAAGGGCTCCTGAGGCCACCTCAGCAGGGAGCCGACAGCGAGGTCCTGCCCAGTGTCCTGGCCCACTGGGCGGCCCCGACCTGTGCCTCCTGCCACTCACCCAGGAATGCCTGCTTCTCGCTCTCAGTGTAGAGGCCGTAACAGCGAGGGAAGAAGGAGTCAGGGTTGGCCTGGACGTACCTCGGCAGGCTCCGCATGTTCACGCACAGCCCCATCTCCAGAGACAGCACCATGTTAGGCCCCCGCAGGCCGAACGCCAGCCTCCCTGGGACCAGCCTGAACACCTGCGGGCCTGGCGCAGTGGCTCTGGCTCCAATTGGCTCCGGGGGGCAGGGGGTGCCTCCCAGAGCGAGCCCCTCCCAGCCCCTCTGCCCCCCTGGCTGGTGGGTCTGAGCAGCAGGCTGACCTGTTGCGCAGGCCGGGGCCGTGGGCTTGTCCTCGGGGCAGTGAGGGGCATGTCCAGCCCAAGGGAGGGTTGTGGGCTATCCAACAGGGCCGGGTGGTTCACCTCCTAGGCCCTCAAATGGGGCCATGCTCAGGGCCCCAGAGAGGCGGGAGCAAAAGCTCTCAGGTCTGCAGCCCGGACGCCTACCCTGCTCTGAACCCATGGCTGAGGCACTGGCTGTTAAGGAGGCCTGGGGGGAAGTTCTGCACCCCGGGGGTCCAGCTCTACATGGGAGTCTTTGCAGGGAGCCTGGCTTGACTGGACTGCCCAGAGGTATTGCCCACAGCAGGATACCAGTGGTATCCTGTGGCTGAGGATACCAGTGGCTGAGGCCTGGCATGGATGCACAGGGGACCAGACCCCCACGGGGAGCCCCAGGGCAACCAAGAACCTGGTCCCTGACCCCCAACGTCATCCTTGCCTGTTGAGGGAATGATCCCCTGGCTGCTGGGAAACCCTTCTACCTAACCTCCAGCGTGGCTGCATGCAGGCCAGTCCACCCCTGAACCTCAGCCCTGGGGACAGATGGGAATGGCCACCTCCAGGAGGGGGCTGAAAGGAGGTGAGGGAGGAAGTCCGAGCGTGGCAGAGCTGTGCCAGTGCCCCTGAAGCCAGAAGTCATCGTGCAGGTGAAGGTGGCCCACCCCGCCTCCGGAGCCGGAGCCCCCTCGGGGCCCTGAGCCTGGGTCAGGCTGTGGCCGCTGCCCTGTCTGAGGCCTGGAACAGCACGAGGGGCATGGGGGCTTTGTGGGGGCAGGTGATCAGCAACTCTGGACACGGACAGCTGGGCAGCGACCCCTGACCAGGCCAGCATGAGGCTCGCATCCTCTGGAGGAGTGGCCAGTGTGTCTCTCTAAGCGACAGGGGTGCTGGCGTCTCAGGAGGCGAGGCGCTGCCTGCTGCTCCCCCTGACCTCCCCCAAGCTCCCCACTCACCTTGGTGGTGAAGGAGGATGTCTTCCCGAAGTGGTTCAGCATCTGGTCACAGCTCAGGCTGCGATAGTTGATGACACTCTTTTTGAAAGTCCAGAGGAAGTATGGCATTTCATTTTTTACCAATCTGGACTGGCAAGAAAATAGCCTTTATCAGCATCCAACACTCAAGGCTCATGCCCTTTGACAGTTGGGCTTAAACTGAAGGAAATCAGATGCCAAAAGACACATGATATGCAAATTTTGACTGTGCCTCTCATCTTGTCACCGCAGCTGCGACTGTGACCACACAGGGCCTGCTCTCAGGAGGCACCCGCTTGGCTGTGGGGCACAACGGAGGGCCTCCGGACGTGGCACAAGTGGGGCCTGCGCTGCCCGCTGCATGGCCACCCACTTCGGGCTTAGGGATGCACCGTGGGGGGGCGGGAGAGGGGTGGGTGCACACTTGGTGGCCTGGCAGGACCCCCCTTCCACCACAGGACTTGGTTTCCTCCCCCATCCCCCACTCCTTCAGAGCAGCAAACCCAGGTCCCCAGAATGTAGGCCCAGGAGAGCATGTCCTTGGTGCCTACACTTCTGTGTTCACAAATGGCACGTTTGGTTAAAGATACTAACCAAAAAGGTACAGGGAAGAAACACGTTCCCCAAATCCTGACCCCCTGAGTCTGGTGAAGACCCTCGGGGGTCACTCTCCACTGGCCCGCGCGCACACACCTACCACCCTGTGACAGGAGCAGCGGTCCAACCCCAAGTCGGGGCAGGGCCGGGCGGCTCCCACCTGCTAGCTCAGCAGCCACTGGCGACACCGCCTACAACGTCCGGCTGCTGCTCTCGGGGGCTTTGTTGTTTTCCCTACTCCAAGAGTGCTGTCCATGGCCTCTGGTGTCGCTTTCCGAAATTTGTGTCATTTGCCAGTGAGCGGTGACCCAGCCGCGCAGGTACCAGGGTGAGAAACAGCACCAGGCAGAGCCGCCTCCCAGCCAGACACAGGGACCTGGACCCTTCCCGGCTCCCCCGCACCCGTGGGGCCGCGCCGAGCCAACCTTCACGGGAATGGACCAGCTCCGGGGACTGCCTGTGCCGGTGAGCCTGCTCAGCTCTCTGCCTGTTTTTCTACTTGTCCAGTTTTGTTCACTGGTTGTTTCTGATTTGAGTCCTTTACATATTCTGGATATACTATCTTTTAAAATTACACACACTGCAAATATCTCCCCGACTGCCTCATCTCATGCCTCTGGGGACTCTTCAGAGGAGTGGGCGCCCTCCATTCTGATGTGGTCAGACGTCCCAGTGAGTGCTTCCCAATCTCATGGCAATGTCTTCACTCCCCTAAAATCGCAAGTGAGCCCGCAGTGCCGCCTGCCTCCCGTGCTGCCCCTCCACCCCGGGTCCACAGCCCCCATGCAATGCCTCCCTGGCTCTGCACCCTCTCCGGCAGGTCCATCTTTGCAGGCTGACCCGTCACCCCAGCTACCACCCAGGTCACAGGAGCTCGGCTTTGGGGCTGTGCTCTGCCCACGGCTGGCGTGTTCCCAGCACGACACTGTCCTCATGGCCACAGCCTCACTGAGTGGGGGGCTTGCTCTCCTTTGAGGGCTGTTCCCACCCTTTGCCACTGGATTTCCAGAGTCACAGACACAGCTCGTCACCTTACACATGGGGACACAGGGACACACACGGGCATGCGCCCCCACGTCCCGCGGGGTATAACTGGGGGCTGCCTGACCCCCAGTGAGAAGCCAGGTGCGACTCTGGGTCTGTGGCCCACCCCCGGGCTCGGCGGAGGCAGGCCCCGCCTGGGAACTCGCAGTGAGGTTGCAGCTCGGCCGGCCACCGTGCAGGGACCTACCCTCATGTCATGGATGTTGTACATTCTCTCCAAAGCCACCTCCTGGGTTTCTCTGCCTTCAGCACATTTGTGTTCTGCAAACCCAACACAGGAGAGACGTCAGCGTGCCACGGCCTGAATACCTGACCACAACCACACCCGCTGCAGGGCAGCCGCCGTGATGGCCAGGACACCACTTGGTGGCTTCTCAGCACCCTCATCCCACACCCTCTGTGGGCCTGCGATGGAGTGGGGCAGAGTAGGGCTCGGCTGTGCCCACCTGTTCAGGCGCCCACCACATGGCACCTCCACCTGGTGCCGCGCAGGACAGGGGCCCCAGGGTGTGGGCGGTGGGGACAGCCAGGGGCGAGAGTGCTGGAGGGGCATGGGGACGCAGGCCCACGGGGGCTGTGGCATGGGGGCAGCCTGTGCAGACTCCCCAGCCAAGAGGGTGCAGGCACCGTGCGCAGGTGGGAGGCATGGGGCAGGCGGCACTGCTGAGGCCGAGGAGGGACGGTCAGGGCTGGGACTATGGGGACTGTCCAAACATGGCAGGAGCCCGGCAGGGGCAGGGACACCAGGAAGTGAGCCGCGCTGGGGCTTGGAAGCGCTTGCCGAGTGTGCGGACGCCTGGGCGGGGAGGCCGGCAGTGTGGCCTGTGGTGTGGTCCGTGGGGTTCTCTGCCCCCAGGGCAGATCCCGACACATTCGGGGAAGGCCCAGGTCACAGGAGGTGGGGCGGTGCCAGCACCCCACCCAGCAGTGTGGGCTTGCTCTGGGTGCTGCGGACATACACGCCCACACGGAGACACTGAAATGCAAGGTGCTGATACGTCACCAGTCACTGCTGGGCTCCCGTCCTGGACACCCGCGGGGAGCCCGGGCAGGAAGTGGGACTTCTTCTCCACCCAGCCCTTTCTTCGCAGAGCTGCCCGGATCACTGGGTAGTGCCCATAGATGGAGAAAATCTTCTTCTCCTCAAATTGCAAGAGCATATTTTAATTAAAGAATTGAAACACAAGTTGCTCATTTCTCTGTAAGAGGAGGCATCAAAGCAGGGTGGGGTGGACCGCACCTGTGTCCAGCTCCAGGATAAACACCCAAGAACACCCCGGGGCATGGGGACGCAGGCTGGGAGGCAACGGTGGTGTTCCTGGGGGGCTGGGCAATCCTAGCTCAGGGCAAGTCTGGGTCTGGGAGGGGATGGCAGGGCCTTGCGGGCAGGGGGAGGGAGAAGCCATCTCACCGCCAAGGAAGGGCCAGTGGGGGAGGCTGGAGGGTGACCTCAGGTGCCTGCACAGAGCAGGGAGATAGCAGCTGGGGCTGTGCCTAGGCCTCCCCCTCAAGGGATGGGGGCAGGAGAGTAGCAGTCACGTTGGAGCCGCAGGGGGGACACAGCCGGGACACGTCCACCTGGGGAGACTGAGGGCTGCAGGGCAGGGCCAGCAGAGAACACAGGGCCTCTTGAGCTCGCAGGAGTGCACACGGAAGCCAGGCAGGAGGGCCGTGGCCCAAGCACACTGGTATCCCTAATTAGCTGACTTTGAATAATTAAAAAAGAGAGATGATCCTGACCTAATTAGATGCACCCCTTAAAAGTGGGTTCAGGGCTTCATCAAAGCTGGAGTTTCGAAGCAGCAGAGACTCCCTCTCCCCACTGCTGGCTTTGAGGAAGCCGGGTGCCAGGAGTCTAGAGCCACGGGGAAGCTGATTCTGCAGACAAGCTGAAGGAGCCTGAGGTGCGTCACTGCCCAGGCAAGCTGCCAGGTGAGACCCCAGCCCAGCCAACGCTGGAGAAAAATCTACCTCAGAAAGACATTTTTGCCCACCCATCAGCTGCTCCATCATCTGCCTTGTCCTGGAGTCCCTGCTGGGAATGTGCCAAGTCCATCCGAGAAGTTTTGAGTTGACACCCGAGTGTGACTTTGGTTATCTATGTAGCTCAGCTTTTTCAGCACATGGATCAACAAAACCAGCAAGGACTCAGGGGCCTCATTAACAGTGGTGTGGCTGGGCAGATTACGAGACCCTCAGAGTATGATTACTGCTGGAGGAATTTGGTCAACTACCCCCCTGGGAAAGAAGCTCCCTGGCCCAGATACCCCCCTCTGTGGATGAAGCTATATGCACTGGAACTCCACTGCATGACTCTAAGTCTCCCCCCGTGTTTAAAGATTTCAAGAAGATGTCAGAATCATCTTACATTGTTGAGACTTAATCTTCAACACTGCCATTACCAAATGATTTCACCCAATATCCTTTTAGCTGCAGGGTTGATACAACTTCCTGTGATGCGGAGATGGATAGAATGATTCTTTGTACATGCTGTTTCAAGAATAGGCGATGATGACCCACTAAAGAGTGAGTGCTATTAGAATTTAGAAATTTTCAGCTTGTGTTTCTATATACTAACAATGATTAGCTGAAGAAGAAAAAAATAATTCCAATTACAGTAGCATTAAAAACAATAAAATAGGTAGGAATAAATTTAACCAAGGAGGTGAAAGATCTGTACACTGAAAACTATAACACACTGATTAAAGATATTGAAGATGCAAATAAATAAAACGATACCCCATGTTCATGAATTGGAAGAATTAATGTTATTAAAATGTTCCTACTCTCCAGAGTCATCTATAGATTCAATGCAATTCCTATCAAGATTCCAATGGCATTTTTTTACATAAATAGAAAAATCAACCCTGAATTTCAAATGGAACCACAAAAGACCATGAAGAGCAATCCTGAGAAAGAACAAAGCTGGAGGCATCACACTTCCTGATTTCAAACTGTATTACAAAGCTACAGTAATCAAAACAGTATGGTACTGGCTTTAACAGACACAAACACTATTGCAACAGAATTGAGAGCCCAGACATAGACCCATGCACATATGATCAACTAATATTTGGCAAGGAAGCCAAAAATACTCAATGGGAACAAGAATATTCTCTTCAATAAATGGTGCTGGAAAAGCTGGTATTTACCTGCAAAAGAATGAAACAGGACCCCTAACTTATATCACTCACAGAAATTAATTCAAAATGGATTAAAGGCTTAAATGTAAGACCTGAAGCCATAAAAATCCTAGAAGAAATCTCCTTGACATTAGCCTTGTCAATGATTTTACGAATAGAATACCAAAAACACAAGCAACAAAAGCAAAAGTAAACCTGTGGGACTACATCAAATTTAAAAACTTCTGTATAGTAAAAGAAACAGTCAAAAAAATGAAATGGCAACCTATGGAAAGGGAGAAAATATTTGTGTACCACATATCTGATAAGAGACAAGTATCCAAAATATATAATGAACTTCTACAACTCAATAGCAAAAAAACAAATAATCTGATTTAAAAATGGCCAAAGGACCTGAATAGACATTTTTCCAAAGGTGATATTCAAATGGCCAACAGTTACATGAAAAGTTGCTCAACATCACTAGTCATCAGGGAAATGCAAATCAAAATCACAATGAAATATTACCGCATACTTTTCAGAATTCCTATCATCAGAAAGACAAGAGAGAACAAGTGTTGGTGAGGATGTGAGGAAAAGGCAATCTTTATATCCTGTTGGTGGGAATGGAAATTGGCACAGTCACTATGGAAAGCAGTATGGAAGTTCCTCAAAAAAATAGAAGTAGAACTGCCATGTGATTCAGCAGTTTTGCTGCAGGACACATTATCTGGAGGAAATGAAATCCCTGAACTCAAAGAGGAGTCTTCAGTCCCATGCTTATCGCAGCGTCATTCACGGCAGCCGAGACATGAAAGCAACTTGTGTCCATCAACAGGTGAATGGATAAAGATATGGCACAGATAAAACGCACAGTGGAATATTACACAGCCACAAAAAAGAATAAAATCCTGCTGTTTGCGACATCATGGATGAAACTTGAGGGCATCATGCTATTTGAGATAAGTCAGAGAAAGACAAATACTATATGATCTTGCTGATGTATGGAATCCAAAAAGAAGTCACAGAAACAGCAGATTAGAGATCACCAAGGGCAAGTATGAAGGTCGTCAAAGGGTACAGTTTTCAATAGTAAGATGAATAAGTTCTGGGGATGTTAACAGTACTGCACTGCATACTTGAAATTTGCTAAGATAGTAGATCTTAATATTCTTACTACCAAAAAGAAAGCATCTATGTGAGGTGATGAATGTGTTAACTCACCTTTTGTGGTATTCATTTTGCAATACATATATATATATCATATCATTAAGTTTACACCTTAAACTTACACACAATGTTATGTGTCAGTTATGTCTCAATAAAGCTGGAGAAGAAAAGAGATAAAAATAATAATCTAGAAATGTTCATAAATAGTGGTATTGTAGATTGTGTTATTAACTGTTCCATCACAAATTACCCCAATTCTTTGTGGCTTCAGATAATAATAAACATTTATTATGTCACACACACAAAAAAAGTAATCAGTCCACAGGGAGGCAAGGACGGAGGGAGAGCTGAACAAATAGAAGGGCATGTGGGGACATGGGTGCACACCTGGACTTTAGCCACAGATACACAGTCAGGGCTCCAGTTAAAAGGTGGAGAGTGCCAGATTGGGTTTTATTTTTTTTCATCTAATATTATGTTGTTTGCAAGAGAAAAATCAAAAGGACAAACCTACAGATAGTAAGACATAAAAGGATCTAAATGTGAGACAAAATAGCCTTTGGGACAAATAAACATCACCAAAATAAAGAAAAAGATTCCATACTTTAAAAGAAAGGTTTGGTGCACCACAAAGATACATTTGCAAGTGCCTGTTGAGAGTGCTGTCTGTTACATGACACAGAAACTGACTGAATCACGGAGTGGACAAACCCACAGTCACAACAGGACATCACGTGGAAGAGCGCACAGACCCGAGAGTGCAGTAAGACCGGATTTGAGCAACACAAACAGCAAGGTCCACCCTGGCAACAAGAATGGTCTCTGCAGCAACTTTCACACGTGTTAACAGAATTCTAGGTGCAAGCCAGTCTGAGCACGTTCCCAGGAGATAACTTTATGCAGGTTACAGTCTCAACCACAGCGCAATCAAGGTAGAAATCAACAGCAAAATAGGGAAAAACCCACCAGTATCGACCTTAAGAACTATGCTCTTGAGTAACCCATGACCGATGAAAAGTAATCGTATGGACTATAAAGGACTTTGAACTGCAGCTCATGAAACGCAACCGGAGCAATCGTCAGAGGTGTGTTTGCAACCTTACATGTTACTCGTTTTGAGTAAAAGCAAATTACCAAGCTGGTATGGCCCGGGTACATGAAACCCCAGAAAGGACAGGGACGGGGGCATAAGGAGCACACTGGTGGCCAGTATTTGGGGGCTGGGAGGGGAATAACCTGCAGGAAGCTGCAGAAAGCAGCTTCCCTGGTGACACAAGCATTGCCTGCATGTGCTCTGGGGGCTCTGCGCCCCTCTGCAGGTGCACCAGCCCCCCTGCCATGAGCTGCACAGGTATGACTGGAGCACTTTGTGTGTGTGCGCGGGCTTTGCTTCCAAAGAAAGTTAACACATTGAGACGTTTTCATGGATAGTGCGTGCTGTGCTTCTCAGGGCTCCCACACGGTCACTGCCCTCTAGGCAATAACGACAGAAAAGCCTCCTCCTGTTCTCATCTGTTTCCATTTAAGGAATACTAGCACCTGCCATCTCTCTCCCAGGCCCAAAATCTCACATTCTGGTGGAAGGCAAGGCTCCCTCCCTGGAGAAGGTGGTGGGATGCCCACTGCGCCACCAGGACTCGGGCAGCATCTGCCCTCGGCAGGCCGCCCTGGGTTCTGAGTCATGAAGCATCTGACCCTGACCCAGAGACCTCTTCCAGGGTGCATGCCCCAGTCATCCTCACACGCTGGGACAGGCGCTCACCGCGTGCCTGCGGGAGAGAGTTCACCCTTCATGTGGCCGCACTTTTCAGAGTTTGAAAGTATTACCTGTTTCAAAATGCAGCTGAAATAAAGTAACTCAAACACAAGCTTTCACATGGGAGCCAGGGGTGGGGGCCAGGAGGTGGGGTCCAGGCAGAAACCCGGGCTGACGGAGGGGGCTAGGAACCTCGACAAAGAGTGTGACAGAGCAACCGACTCTCTCCAAATCCTAAAATAAATTTGTGACTTTAAAAAGTGCCCCTCCCCACCAAGCCCCGAGAGCACCCACCTGGATCGCCTTTTCTGTTAATTGTCTTGCTATTTTGTATCTGTCCAATTTGGGGGAAGAAGTCAAGTCTTGGGAAATTCCTAGTTTTAATTCTGCAAAAGAGAAACAGACATCAAGGCAAAGGAAAGGGCAAGCGACACTGGGGACGCCGAGGCCCCAGGCCCCAGCACCCACAACCACCTGTCACCTCCTCCTGCCCAACCTCTCCTGGACCTTGGCCCCCAGGCCCTCCTCCCACCACCCTTCAGCCCCTCCCCGG